CTGTCCTCCCCTTCTCTTACAGGGTCTATTTTCAAAGGATTCCAAGAGGCTGACATTCATTTCCGTCCTTCCTACAAGTTCGACATAGGAAAGGACAGCTACGACACCACTTCCAAGCAAAGGACCCCTTCCTACACGGTAAGGGAGGGTTTCAGAGCAGCACGCTCGGAAGGGCTGCTCAGCCTCACGTCTGCCTCCAAAGGGGAGAAATCTGCGGGGAAAAAGCTGCCTCAGTCGTGGTAACGTTTGCCACTTAGTGAAATGGGTTTGGAAGAAAGGATTGTTGAATCTGTGAGCACAGGGAGAGTTTGGCACAGGCTGCTGATCTTATTTTCCCTGCCTTACCTCCTGCTCCAGTGCGTCTCCCCTGTGCTCAGAGCGGGGTGTAGAACGGCTGTTGGCATCAGACACGTATCCCTGTCCAAGACACGGAATTTCACTGAGCGGAGTGTGATAAATGATTGGATTGGGGCCTACAAGGGTACTGGGAGAGGTCTTTTTACAAGAGCCTGTAGTGATAGGACAAGGGGTAATGGGTATAAATTGAAATCAGGGAGGTTTAGATTAGATGTCAGGAAGAAATTCTTCACAGAGAGGGTGGTGAGGCACTGGAACAGGTTGCCCAGGGATGTTGTGGATGCCCCATCCCTGGATGTCTTCAAGGCCAGACTGGATGTGGCTTTGAGCAACCTGGTCTAGTGGAAGGTGTCCCTGCCCATGGCAGGGGGGTTGGAACTAGATGATCTTTAAGGTCCCTTCCAACCCAAACCAGTCTGTGATTCTGTGATTTGTCTCTTGTGAACCAGTGCTTCTTCCCATGGTGGGTGTGCAAAGGGAGTTACCATCAGCCCCCCCTCTCTCTCTGCCCCCCAGGATCGAGTTGTATACCGCAGTCGGTACGGAGACATCCTTGCTGTCAAGTACTCGTCTTGTCCTGTGATCAAAACTTCAGACCATCGGCCTGTGTTTGCCTTGTTTCGTGTGAAAGTGAGGCCTGGCAGAGACAAGTTAGTACCTCCTTACACTGCTGGGTATGATTGCACATGGCCCTCGTGATCCTGTGTTTGAAGTCCGCCCTCTCAGGAGAGTTCCTGAAATAGCGTTTATCACACGCAGCTCTCTGCAGCCTGTTTGGTTTTTTACCCAGTAAATGCTCTCAGTGCTGGAGCAGTAAGGGTGCTTAAACCTCCTGCTGACATCCCAAATCCCTGCTGCCAGGTCCCTTAATCCTCCTGAGGGAGGTAAACAGAGTCCATAGCAATTGACTACAAATCCGTGTTTTGTCGGAGATGCAGCACTCTGCTTTTCCTGTCGGCACGAACAGCTTTCCTCTTCTGTTCCTCTCCCCCTCTCTGGGATCAGTGCTGTTTTCCCTCCCCAGTGGTGGCTGCGTTTCAGCATAGCTGTAGGTCAGTGGAGTATTATGAGATCCTCCAAGTTCTTCAGTGTCCCACGGTGGGCTGTTGTGTTAGCAGAACTCCTCAGAAAACGAGGATGCTGAAATGTTGTTAGTCTTTCCTGTGAGTAGCATGGTCGAGGATTTCCAGACCGGTATCTAGAAAATGATGATTTCTCAAAGCACTTGTTAGCAGTCCAATTAGAATTCAGATTTTTTTTTGTGGTTTATGGGTATTAAACACCCATTAAATCAAAGTCTCGCAGCGTCTGTGAAGCTGGGCTGCCGGTGTTTCCTTCCGCCCTCTCTAGAACCAGGGTGGGAGCTGCTGGGCATGAACCAGACCAACAAACACACCAAGTCAACAGCAAGTGGGTTTAGCTGCTCAAATCAGAGAGTTTTGGCTTAGGGTCATGAAGAATGTCCTCATGTACGCCCCTTATGAACGCAGGCACGCTCATGCTTAAACCCCAAGTACGTTGGCCTTTTACAACCAGTATTTTCTCCTGTAAATGTGTCGTGAAAAGCCTTACCTTGTTGCTGTGGAAGAACAACTCACCCGTCTTCTCCCACAGCAGCAGCTGAATGCCTCAAGAAAAGTAAAAATCAAGTGTCTGGCCTTTGTTGGGTGAACTAGTGGGGAAATGTTGGGCCAAGAAGCTGGTATTTGTGCCCTGATCTAATGGCTTGTGTTTATATCGTAGCATTCCACTTGCTGCGGGGCAGTTTGACAGAGAGCTCTATTTAATTGGAATAAAGAGGCGGTTTACAAAGAAACTTGAGAAGCACCAAGAGCAAAATGACCAAAAATCCAGCAGCGTATGTAGCATTTCCTGAGCTGAGAACTCCGCAAGGCTTGTGTTAGAGGTGCCCAGAAAGAGGATTTCAGGCCACGGCGAACTCTGCAGGGAATTGTCTGCTTAAGTTGCTGTGGCTTGTGAAGAATGTCTTAAACCTCATCCTGGATTCATTTGCATGAGCTAATCCATGTAGCTCAAGTGCTTTTGCTGAAGAAAACCGAGTCGGTGATTCAGGACATCCATCCTAACAGATGGAACCTGGTTTATTTTTAACCACACCATCTCTGGAAGGGACCAGGTGCAGCCTCCTGCTTTGACGATGACTCCACGCGGGGGGAAACAGCTTCTGGAATCGGCACGACGGGAGCAGGGGACCCAAGAAAAGCCTGCAGAAAGGTGAATGTTTTTGATTCTGTTTGATTTGATCTGGTTAGCTTACACACATTGTGCTGTTTTCTTTTTCTTTCCCTCCTTACCTGCAGCCAAGTGTACGGTATTCCGTAAAATGCGTAACAGGGACCAATTAGGGGGCTCGGGCAGTTTTCCCTAAGGGTGGTGCTCCTGTGCTGGGCTGTTTTGGTCCTCTGCAGCAAGATCTGTGTGAATGTACTACAGTACGTTGGAAGTGTAGAAACATTGCCTTTCACTAGTCATTCTATGGGCCTTCTGTTACTAAGGGGATGAACACCCACCTCCCGCACCACGTGTTTGGCTGGGGGAGTGCTTGAAACAATCCCTTTCTCAGCTCACTCGCCCTGTGAGGTGATAAAACACCTCCTGCCTTCAGCAGCAGGACGCTCGAGCTGAAAACAGTGGTCTGAGCACAGCGACTGTGTTAACGCGTCACCGGCGGGCCTGCAGCCAGCGAGCAGAGGAACTGCAGCGGGCCGGATCAGCGCCGTTCCGTTACCTCTCATCACAGTCAATTCCTTTTGGGTTCGTTTTTCCAATTCAGGGAGCTGTGAATAACTTGCTCTTTTTGAAGTGGTGTGGTCTTAAGGCTAAACATTCTACACGGACCAGTAGGGCACTGGTACAACGTCAAGCACAGCTCATGCTCTAAAAACGCCGCGCGGGCAGAGCTGGGCCGGGTCGTTCATCACCTCAGTCCATCACACGCCGTGCAGGCGCCGTGGAGGAAGTGCTACCAACTATGCAACCTGGCCTAGACAGAGCTTCTGTCCCGCGGTACAAACCCCCACGGCACTGACCTGTCTGTAGCCATCAGGAATCTGGATTTCCTTTCTTTTTAAGGGAATATAAATAAATTAATGCAATACCTTAAATGAGGACCGGTTTTTATTTTAGAGTTGTTAGAACTGGAGTTCTTTGACCGCGTGATGCATGCTGACCGTTCGGGTGACCTGAGCCAGTCTTCGGCTGGAAAAGCGGAACGGATTGCTTTGGGATCGTTCGCATTGAGCAAAGCAAGCCCATTTCACCTGCCAGTTCAAGAAACCCAGCCATCAGACGATGAATTTCAGAGCTCTTACTGCTTGCTCCAGTCACAGAAGTCCCTTTATTTTCTTACAAACATACACAACAACGAACAGGACTTCCATACTGCGGGGTCCACGAGAAGCAACGCAACATGTTTTCTTCACGTTGCATGAGGAAAGGTTCGGGGATAAAGCAGGTGATAGCTGCCCCAGAGTGTTCTGCTCCCACTCTGATTACTCCTCACAACACCCATCTAGCCAGTGAAGTGCAGCTGCATACGTTTTTAAGCCCGTATGTTAGGGAATTATGTAAATCAAGTATTTTATTCCTCTTTTGGGTCTCCCTTTTTTCAGGATGTCAAACGTGTGGCACTTGGCTTCATGTCTAATGTGTCGGCAGTCACTCTCCAGATCGTAAGCTTTCTAAATATTGTCATTTTGTTGATCCTGACTCCTGGCTGAGCACACCTCTGCTGAGACTGACAATTACGTCGTCTTTACCAAGGCCCCAGCTTCATCTGAGCGACAACGAAGTAGGTATGGGATTAAGGTGAGCAGCAGCAACTCCTTTAGTAACTGTTTGTATGCCAACCCTGGAGTGAAAGAACTTCTGCTCTTCAGCACAGTTCACTTGGAAGTGAAAAACCTGAAGAACAGAATCGCTTTCATTCTAGAGTAAGCGTCCGTGCAGCACTATGCACAGGATCTTCGTAGAGGAACTCTACGGAACCCTAGTTAGGCCATAGGTCTACTTTCACCTGAGCTCTTGCACAATCCCCGAGTTATTTCCAGAGGGGTGACTTCCAGCAGTACTACAGATAGTAACTTACACTGCTGAAATGGGTCCGTGGTGCTTGTAACACCACCTGGACTGCATGAACTTGCTGCCGAGCTTCACTGGGATGATAACCAGTATTTTGTACTTGGACCAAGTCTTTGTCCACCTTGGTAGGAGCTGTAAGTATTCTCTGAATTCAGGAACGGAAGCCAAGCTCTCTAACGTGCCACCACATTGGTCAGGAAGGGCACGCCCCAGGGCCTCCCGCACGACACTTTGGCTGCTGACAGGATCCCGTGGTAGCAGCGGCAGCGACTTGCTGCTTCTCAGATACACGCTTTCAGGTGTAGTGATGAATGTTTTGGCTTGCCATGCTCGCCCCGATGCCAGGTGAAGGCTGTATAAACCCATCTTCTCTTGTAACCTACTCAGAGGGTCAGGGTACTCATCCAGAGCCAGGCTGGGCCTTTAAGCCCAACACGACACACTCGTCACGGGCCCGTGGTCTGAAGCAGCTTTGTTCGGCTGTAGCACAGCTCGTATGCACAGTATGGCTGGAAAGATGGGGGGAAGGGCTTGCAGCAATATTACAATCTCAAAAACATATTAAAAAAGAAGCAAGTCTCTCGTGCGGGCTGCGAAAAAAAACGGTACATCCGAGGGAGTCGCCCATCCTTACTGGAAAGCGCTGCCTGGATGTGTTCGTAAGTGGGCAAATCTGTTAAGTCACCCAGTGCAGCCACCGCTGGTTTTTTATGAAGCATCTTAGTGACTACTCTCTTGATATCAGTAGATTTCACCTGACCTGCAGGGAAGAAAAACCCAAAACAAAAACCAGAGCTGTGACAACTGCACCTGAAGTCACGCGAAGCAGCTTTACTATGAGGCTGAGTCGGACCCCGTGCTCAGAAAACTAATCACTAGCTCTAGACCTCCTCTACCATGCTGCTGTTTTTTCCTTCCTTCTGACAAAAATAAGCATTGTGCTAGCTTGCAAGTCATTGAGAAGATCAGTTTGAAATCGATCTCTAGTATTTATGCCCCCCAGGCTTCTAAGGCAATTCATCTGTACGGTGTAAGCTGCTCCCCCCACCCAACTGTGCCTACAATTCCGTCAAGGCAAGGAAAAGCATCATCTACTCACTGATGAGGTCACAGAGCTCATGAGGTAGCTTCCTTGTGTTTGTTGCCAACACTTGCCGTCCCACATCTTCAAAGATAACAGGCCGAGACTCCAGGTTCATCATGAGCATGGACTTCAGCTGCGTCTTCGCTCGCTCAAGTTCTACCTGTAAATAAGCAGCAAACACAGAGAGATGTTCAAAAGAGCCTGGCCACAGCTCTCCGATACAAGATACCACGGTGGCAACACCACCTGCTTTGTGAATGCGTTGCTAAAATGACAGTGTTCCTTTACAGAAGTACTTAACACACAGATTCATTCTAACAATGCGGTGTTTCAGCTCAAAGACAGCTGCACAGTCTGCAGGTCGGGCTGCTGACCTCTCCTACCGCTCCTGCCATCAGGATGAATTCTCTTGTGATGATTTCCACCATCTCCCGAACCTAGGGAAAAGAGGTATTTGAAAGCAGGTTAGAGCAACGCTTATTCTGTGAACATACGAGCTGCTGGGCACATCATGCTGTAGGTGTTTCCCCCCTTAGGAGAGCTAGGCTAGAACGGAATGAATGTGAGACTGTTCTGGTGGATTCCCAGTTTTGCAAGGTTAGAAGACCCTCCCCACCGAGGCAGACCAGAAAACCCTTTCAAGACGACAGTTAACGCTAACGCATGAAGGCCAGGGTACAGTACACAGCCCTGCTGCAAAAGGCATGAAGCTACCTCCGCATCCCACTGAGCTTTCTTTCCCGAAGTAGGTTACCACTGCAGGATCTGAGAGTAGAGAATTCCCATCACACTGACAGGCTGGGGGGCTACAAGGAAGCTGGGGGGAACTTTTTACAAGGGCAGGGAGTGACAGGGCAAGGGGTAACAGGTTTACATGGAAAGAGGGAGATTGAGATTGGACATCAGGAAGGAATTCTTCCCGGAGAGGGTGGGGAGGCACTGGGACAGGTTGCCCAGAGAAGCTGTGGATGCCCCATCCCTGGGAGTGTCCAAAGCCAGGCTGGATGAGGCTTGGAGCAACCTGGTCTAGAGGAAGGTGTCCCTGCCCATGGCAGGGGGTGGGACTGGGTGGGCTTTATGGTCCCTTCCCACCCAAACCAGTCTGTGATTCTGTGCTTACTGTCTGGTAACCGGTGATGAAATCACTTTGTAAGGACACCCGTCTGTGAAGGCAGGACTGTACCTGTTTCGGATCTGCACTGGCATGTATACACAGGAGGCCCGTGTCCTCGTAACTGTGGTGGTAGGAGGTTGCGTTATACATCCAGTGGTGCCTGTGAGTATACAAACAGCGTTCATTTTAAAAAACAGAACTCGTGTAAAAGCTAGGCAGACATGGACAGGGCAGCCCTCCTAACGCATTTTCAGGATTCGCAGCAGTGCCAGTAAGAACTGTCAATTCCTGCTTCTGACATCATTTCTGTATGTGCCATCCACTGCCTTCTCCTCTTGCATCCTCGAGACTGAACCCAGACCTATACAGAGCAGTGTTACTGCTACTACTGCCATTCCATCAACATTCCCTGATTAAGGAATGGATTGGGCTACTGGAGGAAGGCAGGATTCCTGGACACTCCTGCCTTTGATTTTCACCCTTAAATGCCCACTGACAAATCCGTCCTGCGTGTTTCAAATGGAATAAGCTGATGTGAAACATGGGAGTGTTGGCTTTCAAAAGGTGAAGCCTTCCTCGTGAACCTGCTAGAGAAGACCGTTTCTGCAATCCCTTGCACAGAAAGGCCAACCAACCTGTTGAGCACATTGAGATAGAGGCGGGTGAACATGCCCTTGCCAGGCCCTCCGGCTGAAAAAGAGCCACCGCCTCCCATCATCATGTTTAATACCGCAAAGGGGATGAAATCTTCCTCCTGAATTGCAAGAAGAAATTCAGTCAGCTAATAGCAGAGCTCTCGAGGGTCTGGGATGAGTAAAGAGGGAGAAAAAGAAACATGACAGGAGAGCGTAAAGGTCAGTGCCACCATCAAACTGCCAGTGAAAAAGCTACTTGTCTGTATGTGCAGCACGAGCAGCAAGTTTACATCACGAGACAGTATTCTGGGATTCTTCAAGCACCCAAACCGAAGGAGTTTAGGTTAATACTTACTAAAAATGAGCAGCTTTCTAACCCAATCATGATGTGGGTAAGCTCTGGGATGGGAGTGGGGCCCAGACTCACATCTGACATATCTTTTTCAACCTGTGGGAAGGGCAGAGAAGTTGTCATTAGGACCAATTTTCACCTCTGTTCTATCCAGCTTGATACATCCCCAATAATTAACCTGTCACACAAATAAATAATGGCTGCCGCAGCCAGTTTTAGCTCACGTGCTTGAGGAGTGTGTAAATTTAGAAAAACTAAGCCTACAGGGACATCCAAAGTCCCAATCTGCACCTCCAACCGACAGGAAGAGGCACGATAGCACCCTCCTTTCACCTTGACAATGCCTCCCGTGTACTGAGCCACAGATCTGTCCACGTCCTTGGCCTGCCCGCTGCCCCACACCGGCTCCGCTCCGAGCAGATGCTTCTTTGCACACTCCACCAACTGCTCGTGCTCGATCCCCACCCCAGCAAGCACCATCCTGTCGGGCGTGTAGTAGTTCCGCAGGTAGGAATGCAGGACTTGGCGATCGATTTTGTCGGTATTTTCCACCGGGCAGAACCTGTTCAGCCCCACTGTGTTGTCTCTGTAGGCTGCCTGAAAGGAGACGGTAAAGTAGGAAATATTACTTCACCCTGTTCCATCTAAACCTCTCCAGGTCAACAAAGAGAAGTTAGAGAGCGTTTTAGTTCAGGTTAAAATCTTTCACGTGTGGAGAATGTAGGATTTCGGAGTAAGGGACAACAAAATTCTCCCTCTCACCACTGAAATGTAATCGAGTGATGGACAAATCTGTTCACAGAATAGTCTAAAATGAACCCTGAAGCTGAGGAAGAGAACCCAGCAGGTCTCAGACCGGGGACTCCCCGCAAGGTAACCATGTTTTACCGCATGGATCATTTCGGTGAGGAGAGGCTCTGGGTCAGGTCTCATGTTCAAGTCTTCCAGCTCAAAGCGTATAGCTGTTCGAGTCATCTCGATTTCTTCATCTGTAACACGAGAGAGAGCAAGAGAGAACGACCATCACACCAAGTACCCAACTGCTACACAACAACTCCTCAATGAGCACGACCTCATGAAGAGTTCGGAAATCTAATACCAAGTCATGCCTTGGGAGTGGGATTTTTTACGTTCCCAGACCTGACAACCTGGGCTGCAGCGCGACGTCAGCCAGCAAGTTGACCACAGTATCCAGACCTTTGGCGTCAGCGGAAATCGCGTACATTATGGTGTCCCTGCAACACAAGCAGACGGGTTCCGCACTGAGAAGTCACATCTGTGATCCCTCAGTAAATCTGCATCAGGAAATCTCAGTGTTGCTTGGCCATTATCATTAAGCACTTTCAACCTGAAAGGGTTTGAAAAGTCAGTTCTGTTTCCTTTTGACTTTTGTAGCTTCTCAGCAGTCGCTACAAGTGGATTTTTGCGGCTTAGAAGCAAAAAACGGCTTTTACTGTCACGCACCAGCAACAGCAACTCAAAGTACTGTTACGTTACAACCAGGGGTAACAGTGCAGAGATCATCATACCTGGATGCCTGGCAGTCACAAATGCCCCCGTGCTTCTCTAAGGTGAGGAGAATTTCATCTTTGCTGCCAAACTGAGCTGTGGACTAAGAACGAAGATACCAGTGTTACAAATGGGTAAGATGATAACTTTATAGTCCTTCAGTGTGGCCCAGAACAAGCATCATCTTCTACATCCATGAAGTCAGGTGGTTTGCTAAAGACTCGCTGACCTCGGAGGTGAAGGCACGAGAGGTCTTCATTACGGTCATAACAACTAGGAACGGTGTCACCTATTAAGACGCATCAACCCCACGGTGCCGCGGCGAGGAGCAGGCCCTGCCCTTGGCCACCCTCGCTTCCCCCAGGCCCTCGAGCAGGTCAGGTTTACGGTGTTTCGCACCGAATCCAGGACCCCGCTATGACCGAAACGGTACTCACGGAGAAGGCCAGCTTTTCCAAGAAGTGAGCGATGCCGCTGAGGTATTTCACTTCGTGTCTTGATCCCGAATTTATAAGAACTGGCGTTAAGAAGAGAAGAAGTCAGCGTGGCATTGACCCCTCCCCGGTCCTTGCACGCACGTCAGGCACCCGGATCCGAGGGGAGACAACGCGTCAGCCCTTGTGCCCGGCCAGGCCTGCAGGCAGGGCCGGTA